TAAAGTAGTAATATTTTATAGTCTGGAAGTGTTGGACTGCTTAACTTGAATTCAGAACAAAACAAAATGGAAGTTGCACACAATATTGTGATGGAAATGCTAACTCTGTCAGTGCAGGAACATCAGAGTAATTCATTTTAACTTTTCTTGCTGGACGTACTTAACACCACCAAGGATAAAATTGCTTTTTAATTTACAACTTATCTCTCTGCACATATTGTAGTGGTCAGAGTTCCCTATTATAATTCTTCCCTAAGGCTATATTTTAAAGTTTCACTTCAGCTGCCATTTTAAATTAACTTTTAAGAGTGTGCAGAAAGGAAAACCTCTCTATTCCTCAGTGACTCTCAAAAAACACAAGTTCCAGCAGGATTATGCATTAGAGAGAACCTTGAACTGTTTTTCTTAAGGCCCTGGTGCTTGCTCAGTCAGTGCACTGTTCAGCTCTGTTTATGTTTTGTTCACAGCCATTAAAATCCCAGACACACGTGCTCGTATGTATTTCCATGCATGAATGGTCGTGAGAGCATAAAAGAGTGAAAAAGAAAGGCATTTTGTGCAAATTGCTACTTGATGTCAGGGTGCATGAGCTGCTGCTCAACTGTCATCTGACTGTCCTTTTTTGTTTGCTGTTGTAGTTTTGCCGTCATACAACAATGTGGCCAGTGGACAAGTAAAGTAGGCTTTGAAGCGTGAAAAACTAGTATCTTAACCATTGTTCCCCTGCTACCAAAATACCTCTGGTTTGCTTCCTTGGAGTATTGACTTTTCAGTCTAGTGATTGTGTTTCAGCGTCTGTATTAAGTACTTAATTGCTATTGTTTTAACATGCAGTAGTATGTATGTTAGGTGAAATGTAGGTGAAAACTATGCATAGTTGGAGAAAGGGCAAGGCAAAGAGTGCCATAGTGGAAATGCAGGCAGGAAAAGAAATAGAGGAAAGAGAATGTAGAAGAAAGTAGGACAGAATAGAGAAATTCAGTGTAATTTGAAATTTGGAAAGATACTTAATGACTAATAAAATTAATTCCAGTTACATAAAATATATATTCTTTCTATTTGATTTTTTTATCAGCCTTTATCTGACATCATTATGGTAGCTTCTGTTGTCTTTCAAGGGGACAGTTCTCTACAGATTTGCATGAATGCTAG